ATGCTACAGGCATTAGGCCTACTGAATTTAATACACATATCTGGAGGTTGTGTGTTGAAGTGGGAACTTAATTCCCTGTCAAGTGATTTACCAGCCGGGAATCTTAATACCCAAATGCACTGTAGTGGAGAGGCTGTTACAGCAACGCGCTAGTGGAACACAAACACAAAGCAGAAACTGTGTCATGTATATTTGCCATTCACCGGCGCTGTGGGCTGAATGATGCTTTTTGCGTTGTCCCAGATACTTTTGTTTAGGTAATTTCACAATTTACTTTGATTGCGGCAGATACTGACTACTGCATACTCATTCTTTGTAAAGTTTTCTCATGCCTTTTTATACCAAAATGATGCTGGTTTTCATGCTGGAAATGTGTAATCTGCTAAATGATTTCAGAACCAGCCTGTGTATCCAATTGACAGTCAATTGATAGAGTTTTGAGATTATATTTAAACATCCAAAGTGATTTGAATTTGCATCTTCATGCAGTCACTGTTTCTTTTGATGCATCAACAAGAAGTAGTCAAACTTTACTACAAATGAATTTTTTAGCAATCCATTCACACATATTTGTAAATTAAATGTATTTTAAACTGACAAGAAAAATAAAGTAGCTGGAATAATAATTTTAAATTATTTATATAATTATAATAATTATTTGTATATGTATTCGTTTTATTGTTAATTTTACATTAAATTATTTCATATATGTTGTAAATTTTATTTTCATTTATTTTAAGACCAGCATATTTTAGTCAGTTTCCTGCGGAAGTTCTAAGAGGCCATGCATTATTATAATTTTTTTCTTTCGTTTTCTCGTGATCACGACTTAATTGTCTCGTGATCTCAAGACAACGAGAATTGTTTTCTCGTGATGATGACTTAATTTTTTCAACATAGCAAAAGTTGTTTTCTCATGATCTCGACATAACACAAGTTGTTTTCTCGTTATCACGACTAATTTTCTCGTGATCTTGACATAAGATTTGTTTTGAAGTTTGATTTTTAAAACAC